TATATATATATATATATATATATATATATATATATGATAAACTTGTGGACACTAAAAAAAAACTAACATTTTTAAAATTTAAATTTAAAATTAAATTGAAAACTGAAAATATAAAAATAAAACCCAATTCAAAACACTCTGGATGAGACAGAAGACGAGAAGCAGAATATTCAGACCAACATTTTTAAATCCTGAATTTTATTATATGTGACCCTGGAGCACAAAACCAGTCGTAAGGGTCAATTTTTCGAAACTGAGATCTGAAAGCGGAATAAATAAGCTTTCCATTAATGTATATATTGTTAGGATCGGACAATATTTGTCTGAGATACAACTATTTGAAAATCTGGAATCTGAGGGTGAAAAAAAATCTAAATATTGAGAAAATCATCTTTAAAGTTGTCCAAATGAAGTTCTTAGCAATGCATATTACTAATCAAACATTAAGTTTTAATATATTTATGGTAGGAGTTTTGCTAATTATCTTCGCGGAACATGATCTTTACTTAATATCCTAATGATTTTTGGCATAAAAGAAAAATGTATAATTGTGACCCATACAATGTATTGTTGGCTATTGCTACAAATATCCCCCAGAGACTCAACACTGCTTTTGTGCTGCAGGCTCACAAATGAGACTATATAGGAATTATATAGACATAAAAAAAACTAATAAAAATGACAAAAACTTTAACTAAAATGAAAATGAAAATACAAATATAAAAACTAATTCAAAATATTAATAACATCTCAATGACCCTAAAACGACACTGAAAAATCGCTTCGTTCGTAATGACTTGCTTTAGAAAGCCTGCTCTTCACTAACCAGCAGCAATGCAGGTTAACCAGCTGTTAAACCAGGACTGCAGGTTTGAATGAAGGAAACTGAACATCACCTTTTTACTCTTCTCATCTTTCTTCTTTTTCTTGTCCTTCTTGTCTTTCTCACTTTTCTTCTTCTTCTTCTTCTTGTCGCTGTCGGAGGAAGAGGATGAGGAAGAGGAGCTGGACTCCTGAGGACGGAGGTCAAAAAGTCAAATACGTTCTGGATTCATGTATTTCTCATGTACTCAGTGTGAATATTTAATAAAGTGAGAGATTTTACCTTTTTCTTATGCTTCTTCTTCTTTTTCTTCTTCTTCTCATCGCTGTCAGAAGAAGACGAGGAGCTACTTGATGATGAAGAAGACGAATCCTTTGAGAAAAGAGAGCAGAGCAGTTATTCAGTGAAATCACAGTAAATCTTCATAAACCCATACAGAAATGTAATATATGACACACTGTATATTGAATGTATTAAGAGTGATATTGGCATATATGCCACCTATAAGGCAATATATCTTCATCTACCCAGAGAATGTATGCATGTGGAAATTATATAAGTTTATAACATATATAAAATAGCAAATATTTTGTTAAATTTGTATATGTGCATATGTTAATAATATCTATATGATGATATTTTATATGTAGCAACCAACAATATACTGTATGTTTTAATTATACATGCAACTTTATTAAAACATCATATATACAAAAAATCTGTATGTTTATATGTCTTTGTAATACATTTTTTCGTCTATCTTTTATATTTATCAGCAGATATTGACGGGTTTCTGGATGGATGTACTGGCCTCTCTCATCTTTTTAAGTGGGAGAACTTGCACAATTGGTGGCTGACTAAATACTTTTTTGCCCCACTGTATATATGTCCAAAACAAGTATGACACTTACACAAACATGCATATTTGTATGGGCTAG